TAAGTGTTTCCATACAATGAGGTCTGGTCTACAATAGGGATGTTAGATAGCAGGTCATAGAATAGTCAACTAACTACCTGCATTCTTATCAGTTAGTCGACTATTCTATAGTCCCCAGGAGTGGGGCTGGCAGCCAGTGCACTCTGGCCCCACTCCTGATGAGCCCCCTGCTACCCTGCAATGTTGCCTCTGTTTTAGAGGCAGCAGTGTGGGATGCCAGGTGGTAGATGGTCCATGAAGGGAGCCAGATTAAAAACCAGCTTTCCTTGTAGACCATCTGCCTGCTGCCCCGCGTTGCTGCCCCTGATACAGTAGCGCAGGGTGGCAATAGCCCATCCGAAGGGGGTCTGAGCTCCCCGCAGACAGAGGCTGCTGTGGAGGAGGGGCGGGGGAAGCTGCTCTGGCAGCCGCCCCGTTTTTGGAGAGCTCAGGTCCCCAAGCGTGATACACTACATGTCTATACTACGAGTTTAGGTCAAACTTAGCCATGTTAGGTTGATTTTTCTAAGCAATGAGTCTACACGGTATGACTTTAAGGGCTGTTAAGGTTAATTTCTGTAATCCTTCTTGATAACAGGAGTAATGGGAGTAATACTTGATGACAGGAGTAATGGGAGTAATACTAATTTCAACACAAGCTGTAATGCAGACACAGTGTAAAGCAGATGTAGTGCTTTGGTGCAATTCAGATGCAGTGTTGTGAAAGCCAATGTTCTTGGACTCTAGGATGTGTCCCACAGTGTTCCAACATGACCTTTCTGGTCAGCACTTTCAAATCTGCTGCTCTTCCAGGTGCACAGGGACACCCCCAGGAAAATTTGAATTTCATTTCCTGTTTGGCCAGCATGGCAAGCATGTCAGCATCCTTCAACAGTGTGCCTGACTACGAATGCCCAGAGTTGCAAACAAGCTCCAGCATGGAGCATGCAGGAGAGCCTGGACCTGATTAATGTCAGGGAGAGGAATCTGTGCAAGCAGACCCACAAAGCAGCAGAAGAAATGCTGATATCTCCACCAAAATCGCACACAGCACGGCGAAAAAAGAATATGCCGGGGGCACTCAGCAGTGCTGTATGAAAATAAAGGAGCTCAGGGAAACTCATCAGAAGACAGCTGAAAATATGCAGCTTCCATGAGCAGCTGCATGGGATTCTAGAGGGGACCCCAACCTGTGTCCCAAAGCTGTCCATGGATACATCCCAAGTGATTCTTCAGGCAACAACAAGACATTGTAGATGATGAAGAGGAGAATGCTCAGCAGGCAAGCGTAGCATCGGACTTCACTGACAGTCAGGACCTTTTGTAATTTTGAGGCCAATTCCCCTCCTCCCAGTATATTTTCTTGCTGGACCCTAATGGGACCCTAATAGCGGGAAGGGCATTTCTGGTGACTTCACATTTGTAATCATGCTATAAGCGGGTGTACCTGCCTGGCCCGGCAGTACCCTATGACCCCCCCCTCTGGGGGGGGTTAATGTCATTCGGACGCCTTTCCTGGCAGCCGCCAGGAAGATCCTCTTGCTTCGGCAAAGGCACCCTCAGTGGCGCGGGAAGACTACTTCCTCTACCAAGGCCGCAGGGGCGGAGGAAAGGGGGGCCCGGGCCCACCCTCACTCACAGGCCCCAGCCCAGGGCCCTAAGGACACGGATCGGTCTGGATCTGGTCCGGCTGAAAGGGCCTCCTGCCGTAACTCGTCAGCCCACCAACCCTGATGGGTTCCGCCCTGGGCTGCTTCCTTTCCCCGTCCCTGGCTTCTCGCCACTGGCAGGCTCACCTTTCCTTTAGCGGACAGGCTGCCGACGCACAAAAACGGGTCAGTGGACCGGAATCGCCGGTCTCTTAACGCCCTCTCTAGCCTCCCAGCTGCTCTCAGGGGTTTCTCCCAGTGGTGCCTCCAAGCCGCCACCCGGCTACTCTCTCTTTTCTCCTCCTCAGGTAATAGCGGTGGTGCTTTTAAACACTGTGCCGCTTCCGCCCTACCTGATGTCAGAAAAGGGGAGGGCGGAGCTGTAGCATCTCCATGACGGCTAATTCCCCTTCCCCTTGCGGGTTGCCTAGGCTCTCTGGCTTCCCCACTCTCCACTGGCTCCCCCAATGCGCTGGGCTCACGGGGCAGGGGAACACCTCCCAGCCCACCGCCCGCGGGTCGGCCGGTTCGGACAGCCACGGAGCGGCACAGGAACACACCGTGCACCGCCGGGGTGCTTCCACCCTGGTGCCGAGCAACGCCTGCTCAGCGGGAGTCGCTGTGCGGGGCGATGATGCCCCGTCACAGTGGGTTAAGATAATTGGGTTTTATCTGTGATGGCCGTTCTCCCTGCACAGCGAGTGGCTCTCCAGAACAGTTTGATAACATGTATGGAGTAGGCTTGTGATATTGTATTCGTTTAAATGGTGAACCGATGAGCTTGGGTTACCCACAAGGATTTCCCTCCCCCGCTGCCTTTGTATCAGAGGCAGTGAGGGGGCAGGTGGGAGCTGGTGCTTGCAGGGACCCAGCTTTTAAGCCGGCTCCCTGCATGTACCAGCTCCTGCAGAGCCACCTGATCCCTCCCCTCTTGCTGGCAGCAGCACAGGAGGGGGACAGATGGCTCCACAGGAGCTGCTGCTTCTGGGTAGCTGCCTTAATAGCTGACTCTGTGGGAGCACCGGCTCCCACCTGTCCCCCTGTGCTGCTACCTCTCCTACAGAGACAGCAGCGTGGGGGTGGGAAGGGGAAGGTGGCTCTTTGCAAGCACTGGCTCCTCCCACCCCCTGCGCTGCTGCCTGTGATACAGAGGCAGGAGTACGGGGGTGGAGGGCAGGCACCTTTGCGGGGGAAGATGCTTGCCTGTGATACAGAGGCAGGAGTACGGGGGTGGAGGGCAGGCACCTTTGCAGGGGAAGATGCTTGGAGGGAGCTGGCTAAAAAGCCGGCTTACTGCATGCATGGGCTCCCAATGAGCTGCCTCCCCCCACATGTGTAAATATGCTTTTTAACATTTCTAGTTTGGAGATGGAGGGTGACTCCTTCCTGCACCGCTATGAGAGCTTTGTAGAGATGTTCAGGGTGGATTCCCACTCGGTCTCCATACATGTTAGCAAGCTGTTCGGGGAAGCCCCTGCTATGTAGGCAAAGTGGCCACCACAAATAAAACCTAATGGGGTGCAATTAAATGCATGGAGGAGAATGATGTCGTAGGTGATACGCATGGAGCACGAGCAGAGGAAAGTATGCAGGGAACAAAAATGCAAGGCCCAGGATGAGATCTTGAGGCTGCTGAGTTGCCTGGTAGAGGCTCTGGGAAAACATCTGGAACACAGAGTCTCCCTGCACCCTATGCTGAACCATCTGCCCTCCTCCCCAAGTTCCATAGTCTTTCTCATGTGCCTTAGCATGCGAGGGCGGGGGGAGGAGAAGGGGGAGAGGAAGAGGGAGTCTAGGGCAGCCTTCCACTCAACTCCCAGGATGTCTCCTGATACAGGAAGCTGTCATTCCCACAGCTGTGATTGCTACACAGGGGGATTGTAATATGCCATTTATCCTTGCATCCTCTACTTCCCTCTCGGCTCCCCACCACCCACAAGCTCATGCCCTGATTTCCTTTTCTGTCTCTGATCCCTGTGTTTCCTAAATAAAAATGCATGATTTCTGAACAACAGGATCTTTATTGCTTGTGTTGTATGCCAGGGCAATGTGTGTGTGTGTGTGTGTGTGTGTGTGTGTGTTCTACAGGTCAGTACATGTGATACAGGGGTTACCTTGTTAAGAACAACATGTTTGACTCAGATCGCTGTCTGGTCATCCACAAGACTGGTTTTCAAAGCCTCCCTGATTTATAGTGCCCCTCAATGTGTTCTCCTTATTTCTGTGGTGTCTGACTGCTCATAATTAATGGTTAGACAATCTGCCTTGACCTCCCTACCACATCAGTTACTTCCCCCCTTACTTTCATAGATATTATGGAGCGCACATCAAGCAGTCACATCACTGGGACTGTTGCTTTCACTGACATCTAACTCAGTCAGTAACCTGCAAAACTTTGCCTTAAACATGTCCAAAAGCACATTCCACCTCCATTTTCAGTCAGTAACCTGCAAAACTTTGCCTTAAAAATGTCCAAAAGCACATTTCACCTCCATTCTACACTTGCTCAGCCTGTAGTTGAATTGCTCCTTACTGTTGTCCAGGCTGCCTTTGTTGGCAGAGGGATATATGTAAATGAAGCACTTCAAAAGTGCAAATGAAACCAGGATTTAAATATCCTGTGCTTGATTTGCATAATCAAATAATGATGCTCTTTCGAAAAAGCGCTATTTTGAAATTGAAACCACCGTCTAGACGCGGTTCTTTTGAAAACGGGGCACTTTTTCGAAAGATCCTGTAAACCTCATTTTATGCGGGAAGCTACGCTGGTCACTAGACCAAACCAGAATCAAAAGGTGTTTGAAGTCCCATTAACCTTCCTTCTCTGGATTGTTCCAAGAGATGCTGCACGCTCATACATGTTCTGAAAAAGAGGATATAATTTCTAATGTCTTAGAACTTGAGATGCCCTGTGTTTTTATAGTATCCCTGTGTCTGGTTTTGTTAAAGAACAGATATATGAAATTTAATCTCCTTGTTAATGCAGTTCTTTTTTTTAGACTTTAATTTAGTGTAGATTTGCAGCTTCTTGTGCAGAGAAATGGAGACAAGTAGCAGTTTGTTTAATTTGTTATAGCTGATCTCATTCATTTTGAGCTTAAGTCATATGCTTTCTTCTCTTCCTCTTTGTCTAGAAAAAGTTGGGTACACTATTGTGAACATATACCTGAAAATGAAACATATCAAATGCTGTTGTGGATGAGCAAAATTTTCTACTTTATATATGCAAGTGTAAATTATATTGCATTTGTATTTAATTAGTGTGCACTCTTTGCAGGCTCTCACAATATTACTTATATGTCTTTTTTATTTTACAGTGATCTTTATAAATCTCTCATAAGTTTTGTAATATTATTTTGTTTGACTTTACAGAAATGCATTAGATTTAATCCTGAAGCTTCGGTGTGGGTAGCAAAACAACGAATTTTATGCACTTTGAATCAGAGTTTGAAAGATGTCCTGAATTATGGGCTGTTTCAACCTGCCAGCAATGGGAGAGATGGGAAATTTTTGGATGAGGAACGACTGCTTAGGGAGTATCCACAACCAGTGAATAAAGGTGTTCCCTCTTTAGAGGTATTTTAATACAACTGTAATAGTTTTAAACTTTACCATCTGAAACATTTTTATTTACTGTGTGATATTTAATATATAGTAAGTCTAGTTTGAGGTTTCTAAATGGATGTAAATTGCACTCAGGAAGTTGTGATCAAGAGCTGATCTTGAAGACTTGCTCATACAAGTAATGCTGTTTGTTCCAGAGGGGGTATTTTATGGATTATCCCTATAAAGGTTACAGGATCACGCCAATGATTTTCTGCATGAGGGTGTATCAGCTCTTTAATGCTAGAAACCTGTGAGGTTCCAAGAGGAGAGAACCTGAGGATAGGGGTTGAAGTCAGACTGGAAAGGAAGGGCACCCTCCACTCACTCTGCAATGATAGCTCCTGCCCTATGGGGCTAACTTTGGCTCCCAGCTCTGGGCATTGCAACCTGGCATATGGAACAAACCTGAGTGAGTCGTGGGGCTAACTTTGGCTCCCAGCTCTGGGCAGGAACAAACATGAGTGAGTCAGGTCAAACTACCCAGAGCGGGACCTACCATTTGGGAAATAGTGCTGTTGGGAACTGTTAAGAGGACACTAGCAAGCTCTGTATGGACCAAAAATGGTACTACACATTAGTGTGTTTTAGAAATCACTCTCCTATTTCCATGCCCCACTGCTTAGATAAGTCTTTAGTATGGCTAATCTAAATTTTGAATCAGGGAATTAGGGAATCAGGAATTAGGAGGTTATCTTGAAATGTTTTTCTATTAAAGCTATTCCCTAACTTGCACAAATTATTCTCTAATTTTATATGTAGTGCTTCCTACAATGAGTCAGTAACTATTCAACTTTCTCAGGAGGAAAGGCCAAAAAGCTATAGCTGACAGGAAAAATTAGTGAAATTTACAGGTCTGACATCAATAGATTAACATTGGACTAAAATCAGATCCCTACTTATTCAACCAGTTGAATATTTAGGGTCAGTCTTTAATGTTTCTGCAATAACCTTGAACAATGTAAATAATCACTATATTTAAGTCTACTGTTTTCCCCAACAGGCTTGTTACAGTACTGTTTTAACAATACAGAACATGTCAGCAGATTTCTTCTATGTACAATAAACAGTGAGAGAATCTTTTTTCTCTGTAGTATTCACGTCCATGGCATGGAAGGGATAAAAATGTTCTGGTTGAAAACAAATAGAGCAGAGTCAGGAAATAGGCTTACTACACAATACCACTGTAAAAGGCTTTAGACAAGTTATGGACTATGATTCAGGTTGCATCTACACTAGAACCTGGAACTGTGTTAGTGGATAGCTGTCTGGTAACTAGGACCCCTGACTTAGCTGTATCTGTAGTGTATGTAAGTACTAAATTGGCATAGAGTCATAATTTACAGCCAGATTCTTAGCTGGTATAAAAGACATAGCTTCGCTGAATTCAATGAAATTCTGCTATTTTTCACTATGTGGGAATATGGCTCTATGAAGTCTATGCTACTTTTAACCTTCAGCAAGATAGCTGGGTGCATTTTACAAATGTGTCAGTCTTCTTGCATTTAAAGGACATTAACCAACTAAAAAGAAATTACAAAATCCTGATCTTCAGACCTTTTGCAATACAAATTCACTGTCCAAAAAATACATTGCACTCTTTTAATTCTACCTTGTAAACAAAGATCTATTTGTGTCTCTGTTCACAACATGTAATTACCAGTCCAGAGAGAATTGTAGCATGTTGAGAGCATGAACAGCAGTTACAGTAGAATCTTAATAAATACAAAGAGACAGAAATACCATAGAAAGCTAATATCAAAAAAGGAGGCGGGGGAGAATGCAGAGTTGTAAAGTATTTTTGAACTTCAGACATAAGAAAAGATTATGGGTCAGATAGTGAAGAAACCTTGTGTATTAGTACACAAGAAGCGTCCCCACCTCATGCAAACGTTTATTGTTCTGGGCAACTCATACTGCCTGGGTCATGGCTTAAACTGGTGTACAGTCTTATTCATTTATTAAGATGAAATAGATAATGCACTATAGTCTCTCTAGCACTCCTCCTGGGGAATTTCTGCTCCACGCTGCCCCCTTCAGGGAGATGTCATAAAAGCTACCATCTAGCTTTGTGAGAAGAGAGGTGGAGGTGAAATCTGCATTTAAAAATACACTATGGGGCTGTGCCCCCTGTTTGCTACACTCACCCATCCCCCTCTCTCTGGCAGCTTTTGCGGAAGAGAGTGAGAAAGGCATGCTGGCCAACTCCCCTCGAAGAGAGTGAGAAAGGCATGCTGGCCAGCTCCCCTTTCTCTGGCCAGGGGGACAGGGTGTCTAGTCAGGGGGAGGGGGTAAGAGTAGGCTGGGATAGATGTCTGGCCATGGGGAAGGGTGCAAGAGCAGGGGAGGGGGAAGGAGCAGGCTGGGGATAGGTGTCTGGCCAGTGGGGAAGGGATGGGAGTAGGCTGTGGGTGCAGGGTCTTGGCGGAAGTGATGAGTGAGGGGATTGGGGGTGCAAGGTCTCAGTAGAGGGTATGTGTGAGCGGGCTGGGGGTGTTGTATCTCAGTGAGAAGTTAAGTGAGGGAGCTGGGGATACAGGGCCTCGTCAGGGCAGTGAGTGAGCGGCCTGGGTGTGCAGGGTCTTGGCAGGGCAGTGAGTGAACGGGATGCAGGGTCTCAGTGGTAAATATATATCATGTAGTAATGGTGACCCATGAATTTTCAGCTGCTCTGTCTGCTCTAGCAAGAGTCAGATTGGTCAGAATAAGTAAGAAATGGTCTCAGCTGAAGCAAAGCCAGTCCTATGTTCATAAGTAATCTTTATTTATTAACATCAACAGAACTATTCCTTTGAGTAATGATTTTCAGGAATAGGCCCTGTTTCTGAGGTTCAGAATCGTTCTGCTGATTTTTTTTAAATGCATGTTTTATATTTTCACATGCTTCTGCAATTCCTTTTTCTGTCTGCAGCTGGAAGTGAAAGTGCTGAAATGTCTTTAGGGAAAACTCTTCACGTGGTATTTACAGTCCATTTGTGTAGATTCAGGGGACCAAACTTTTTCCTCGTGCAATTTCATGGACTTCTTTATATTTACACCAGAATGAATTTGGCTTATAAGGATTACAGAATTGTAATAGTACTATTCCAAGCATTCTAACATCTTGATATTTATGATATTTATTTATGATATTTATCTAAACTGTATTCCCAAGCTCTTTTTAGAAGTTTGCCAAAATCTACATTACTGTTAACAGATGCACTTTCTGATAATTTCTGATCTTTTTCACTATTAAATATGTATTTTTGACTTAATTTATCTGTTTCCCTGCCAGTTTCGATACAAGAAGAGAGTGTACAAACAATTAAATCATGATGAAAAACAGCTGGCAAAACTTCATACAAAGGTATGTCCAATTTACTTGGGATGAGAGAGAGTATCCATTTTCCGAAAGATAGTATCTGGCAGGAAAATACTAATGTCCAGATGCACAATGACCATTTGATTAGAATCCTTTGATTCAAATGACTGCACAGATTGTAACCTGGACAGCCCTAGCATTGATCTTGCAGATGTCTGTTCATGTGAATAGTCCCACTGAAGTTAAAGGGTTTGCACGTGTGAGTCAAGCATGCAGAACTTGAGTTTATATTCAGTGCATCAGGGATTCTCACATTTCTTCATGGAGTAGACCACATCTAGCCGGAAGGTGTCTCGTGGACAAGGTCAAGCATCCCTGTGACAATTAATGCAGTAGCTTAAGGAGGAAAATATCATTTAGAGAACTGTCTAATGTAATTTAGCACCTGGAAAGTAAAGGGGAGATCTGTTCCAGGTGGCCAGATGAGCAGTCTGCAGACTGCTATTAAGTGTCCATGGATGGTGAGCAGTCCAGTAACTATAATATGAGAATTTTTCTTAGTTTATTTCATATGTTTGAATTTGCCATAAATTTAAAAGTCATTTTAGATGAACTTCATATAATTATATAAACCCGGCTAGTTTTCATTAAATTACCAGTTTTATAAATACTGACCTAAAGGTCCTTAAAGGCACTCATATGGTGGATTATGATTCCCATTTCTGTCTGATTTCTTTCTGAACAGGATGTCTGTTAATTTTTCCCTGAATGTTATAAGCCGCATATTCTTATTTTTGTTTTTTTAATTTTGAACATTGCATTCCATAGAACCTGTGCTTTGAATGAATACCGTTTTAGAGCCAGATCATCAGCTGGTGTAAATTGGCACTGTTCCATTCATTATGGTGGTTATACCAGCTGAAGATCTCTATCATAACTGGAATATTCCTAATACAATCGGAGGAGTTTCAGTCATCACTCTTTGTTTCAGACTAATTTGAGAAAATTTATGGATCATGTTCACCATCTCTCTGTGGAAAAAATCACAAAGATGTTGGACCGGGGACTGGATCCCAACTATCATGACATAGAGAGTGGAGGTAAGAGATTAATAAAATCAACAGCATAAAGTAGTACATACTTGGATTTACTGAATAAACAAAACCAAATCCTGAACCTGTTAAGTCTGTTGCCCTTAAAAGACCCAATCTTAGCAAACTCTATAGTTTCAGTATTTTGAGCAGACAAGCTAATATTTTATTATAGTCTTAGGAAAGTGTTTTATATACTTTGTAGTTAAGAGCTAACCATTAAAATGTTTTTGAAATAGATGTAAATACCTTTTTTATAATTGCTCCTATATTGTTCTCACATTATATTCTTTTTGTCTTTAGAAACTCCACTAACTTTGGCAGCTCAACATGATAATACTGTAGAAGTAATCAAAGCTCTGAAAAATGGAGGAGCACATTTAGATTTCAGAGCCAAAGATGGGATGACAGCACTGCACAAAGCAGCTAGAGCCAAGAACCAAGTAACCCTTAAGGTAAATTCTTTCAGAGCCAAATTATGCATTATTTTACACAGAACAATGTATAAAAGAATATGTTTTAGAGTTAATTATCATATTGTCATAATGGATCTTTTAATTTGTGCTTACTTAAGTATTTACCTGTAGGCTTTTGACTTTCAGGATTTGAATTCAACAAAGGTCCCTATCACTTTAGAAGCTTATGTTTCAAGACACCAGGGTAAAACAGATTCTAGGTTTACATTAGAAACCGTACAGTGGCCTAGCTGTACTGATGCAGTCATACCAATGTACTCATGTAACAGCTCAATGCCGATGGGAGAGAGCTCTCCGGTCGATGTAATTAAACTGCCCCAATGAATGGTAGGGATGTTAAATAGCAATTAATTGAATAGTCATGTAACCGCATCAAATTTTAGCAGGGCACTCCTGGACTCATTCTCACAGAGCCCCGTGTCACCCTGCACTGCTGCCTCTCTGTCAAAGGTAGCAACGCAGGCTGGCAGGCTGGAGCTTGTCCATGAGAGGAGCTGATTTAAAAACCAGCTCCTGCGCAGACTGGCTCCCACCTGATACAGAGGCAGCAGCATTGAGTGACAGCAGCCCCTGCCTGCGGGGGGCCTGAGCTCCCCATGGAAATAGATTGCGCCAGCATCTCATGGAGCAGCCTCTGTCCCTGGTGAACATGGGCCTGCTGCAGAGAAAAATGCTGCTTTGCAGCAACCTCCTCTCCCCTCCCCTATACTGCTGCCTCTGATAGAGGCAGCAGCATTGGGCTGGGGAGGCAGCTCCCCCTGGGCTGGGACCGGCTCCTGCCTGCCCCTCCTTGCTGCCTCTGTGAGAGGCAGCAGAGGGGAGGCAGGCAGCTATGCAGAGCCGGCATGCAAGGAGAGCCGACTTAAAAGCTGGCTTCTGCCTGCCCTCCTGCAGTATCTGATAGAGAGACAGCAGCAAAAGGGGGGGAAGGGTGGAGCAAGCAGCTTGCATGAGCCAATACGGGTGGAGAACTGCCTTGAAAAGCTGCTTTCCACATATACTAGTTCCCACCTGCTTCCTCACTCTCTGTGCTGCTACCTCTCTATCAGAGAAAGCAGCATGGTGGGGGGCAGGAGTGGCCCTAGATGAGCTGCTGGCAACTGGCACCCTAGGTGAAACGCGCAATCGGTGCCCCCGCCTCCAAAGCCCTCAATGGCCATTTATCTTGGCACCATAGGCGACTGCCTAGTTTGCCTGTATTGACGGGCTGCCACTGGTGGGGGGAAGTGGCTCACGGGTTAAAAGCCAGCTCCCCTCAGTCACTGGCTCCCACCTCTCACCCCCTTGCTGCTTCTGATACACAGGCAGCGGGGGGATGCATGTAGTTGATAAGATTAACAGTTAAGTCTGGACTTATAATTAATCGTGTATGTTGATAAGATTAACAGTTAAGTCTGGATTTATAATTAATCGTTTATTCGACTACATGTTGACATCCCTAGTGAACGGTGGTCGCCATGTTTGCAGGAGAAGCTCTTCCACTGACATAGTGCTACTCACACTATGACTAATGCTGGTGAAAGTTGCATTGCTCAGCAGGACAAACTTTTTTAGTAGTGTAGACATGGGCTTAACCTTGTGTACTGATAAATGGTGTAAGAGCTGTCTGCAGGAAATGAGAATAGTGTTGTTGTTTATGTATCTTTGAAAGTGAGTGCCAATAGCATAGATTACATATTATATCTTTTTGATACTGGCCCTTTGTTTTTTCTTCCTGCTCAAACTGGTTTTGTTGAGAATTTTGACATTCTAGATTAAATCTTGTGTTTATGAAATTACATTACTTCCTTCTGGACAGGATTTCAAATTACACAATATTTTGGTAAGGCACACTGCAACTGAAGCTTGGCCAAAAATCACAACTTCATTAAAACACCCAATTTTTCAACTCAGTAACATGATGGGTAATGGGCAGTGTTTGCTGCTCATGCTGTCACTGAATATCTTTAAATCCCCTGAGTACCAAAGCCAGGACTTGTGCTATGATTCTTCACATCGTGCACCAACTGCCTGAATTACCTTGATCCTGTGGCACTGTGCCATAGCTCTTCTGAGGCTGTCTGTACTGCAGCCCATTCGGCCAGCGTATATAAACAGTAACCAAAAATGCCTCCTATTAATTATCACTTTGGAAAGGACTTTAAATATAGAGAGAGTTCTTCAGTTATTTGCTCAGACTTCTTTATAATTTATAATTACTTGTAGACTCTTTTAGAGCTTGGAGCATCTCCTAACTACAAGGACAGCTGTGGATTGACACCACTATACCACACAGCTATAGTAGGAGGGGATCCTTATTGTTGTGAACTTTTACTTCATGAACATGCTACAGTCAGCTGCAAAGATGAAAATGGGTGGCAAGAGATTCATCAGGTATGAACAATTATTCTTCATTAGGTTTTATGTTTACTACTGTGAGTCTATTAGGTCAGGATATGTGCTCTCAAGAGATTGCTTTTCCAGGATTTTGCATATTGTGTGGGACTCTGTAAAACCTTTTATTGGAAGATAATTAATTTATGTATAAAGGGATTTCTTTTTCTTTTGTTTTGTTTAGTGCCATGGAGTTTGCTATTATGTGAGTAACTATCCAGTCTATTAGAGTTTTGCAGCAAGTCAAGTCTCAGAGTTTCTAAGAACGTAGTTGTACAGATTACTGCTCCAGCTGGCTGTGATTGCACATTCTGTTAGTGGGCTCTTGGAAAAGTATTCCTGGATCTTTCTTTTTCAGATGCTACTTTCAATTTCCTTGTTATGTTGCTTGCTCCTTTATACCAGAACTACTTCAACCTGAATTATTGGTGGTAATATAATGAATATGTGGACACATGTCCTGCCTGGATGTGGAATTCCTTAAGCTGCGTCTACACAGTGGATCTGTTTTGGAGTACAAGGGATAAGGGACATTTTGGAATAGCCCCTTATTTCAAAATTTGGTGCTATGTAGTCAGTGCCAAATTTTGAAATAAGCTGTTTCAAAATAACATTGAAATAAGTTACGCAATTGTGTAGCTTATTTTGAGGTAAGGGTGCTGTGTAGATACACCCTTAGTGTGCTGTACAGAAGGATGTTTCTCACTGGGTTCACCCTAGTCAGTTCAGAATTTGAGTTTTGCTTTCTTCTAGAGAAAAAGTTTCAAATGACATCTCCCTTTTCTCAATAATTGGGTCTCCCTGGATGCTCTGCTAAAAGTAGTGTTCGGTATTTGGTAGTCAGATACATCTTCCGCCATCTGGTCCACATAAAAAAGTGATTTAAGGCCTTGTTTAACCTCAGTATGCCCCAGGCTTTTGAGCTTGCTAGTGGTGTAGCAAGATTGTTTTTCAGGTATAGCTTGTTCAGCTTTGCAAGAACAACCTGGAGTCTTTCTTTGGGAAATGATAGGCATCCTGTCATGGGATTCCAGAGGCCTATGCATGTCTTTCTTCCTAGAAATCCATATGATTTAGAATAGTGTTTCTCAAAGAGGTCCATGAAGCCACTCTGAGAAACCTGCTAATTGGCCGCTCTGCTGTGTTTATTTATCGGCTCTGCAGCCATGGAGCCTTGTGGTTTCCATTGGCTCTGGTTCTCTGTTTGCAGCCAAGGGGAGCTCCCCTTGGCTGCAAATGGTAAACTGGAGCCAATGGGAGCCACAAGGCTCCGTGGTTACAGAGCCAGGAAATAAACACACCAAAGCGGTCAGTTAGCAAGTGTCTCCAAGTGGTTTCACGGACCACTTTGAGAAATACTGATTTAGAAAGATGCTTTTTCCTGAGATGTTTTCTTAGGTCATTTCTCCTGTGTGTTCTCCTGATAAGCCTGGCTGTCACAAAAACCTTCAAATAAGGCATTTAGCAGTAGTGTGCTTAAAGTACATGAAATGGAGTATTGAGTTGTGGTACTTTGAGTCCGGTCCCTGTATTAAGGGAAGAAGGTATTTAGCTTACAGGAAACTAGCATAAAACCGGTAACATCCAGCTTTGCTGGAGTTTCCCTGTAGAAGGGTCTAATCTCTAGGCAGAAGTATTGGAATGATTGTTGCACACAGTTTGTGTTATGACCTTCAGATTTAGGGTCATTTTGTTGCACTAAAGTGAGAGAAGAAATGAAGGAAGCGCTGTGTGTTTGTATGTGTGCGCGTACATGTACATATGTATATATGTGCATATGCAAAAGATACAGGATTCTTTTCTTTGTATGCACTGGAACTTGAATGAAGAGATGTAAATTGTGCATAGGCCTTTTGCTTGATCTCCACATTTCATACCTGAATCTCTGAATAGTTGAGCACATTTACCTCCCACTGAAATTAACTGGATCTGATGGTGCTCATCTCACCACCTTGCCAGCTTGCACCTAAAACTTCCAAGGGTCCAGAATTGGCCTGGGGACAGTGCTTTGGAGGGAATTAAAATTTAAAAAAGCAGTAAGATTCCTAAGGAGATGCATCATTGATAGTGTAGAAGCTTCTTTTGATGCCCACGTACACAAGTATATTTGAAAATTCCAGCAGTTTCCCATGTTCAGTGCAATTATTTTCTCAATTTGACACATTTATAGTAATTATTCCTCTCATTAAAAGAGGGCTGTGGTTTCCAAAACTGTCTTCTTGGTTTTAATCCTAAATAAATCAAGAAAGTTTACATCTGGATTAATTGGGCAATCTGTGCTCAGTAAGCAACAATGGCAGTATTCCTCTCTGAAGTGTGAAAGATGGCAGTATAAAGCCATCCCATCTGTTATCATTTTTGAGAGATGTAAAATGACTTAGGATAGTGAAGAAGTCATTTGTCACAGCTTGGTTCCACACTTTTACTAGTATAGTCATTTAGGCTCAGATTCACAAAGATATTAAGCTCCTAAATGGTAGATTTAGGTACTTGAGCCCTATTTCCAGCAACCACTAAAGTCCACAAAACTCACGCTCAGCTGCTGTCTAATCCTAAATTCATTTGGTATGTAAATATTCACTGTAAAAAATATCCCTAAGCACCTGTGCTTCTGCCCCATTGCGTGGGCTCCGTTACCTCCCCTTGGACATCTCTTGCCTATGCCCCAGCATGATCCACAAAACTGTATTTGTTTTTCATTTTTACAGTGCAAATATTTGTAGTAAAAATAATATAAAGCAGGCAGTATGAACTTTGTTATTCTGTGCTGTAACTGAGATCAATATATTTGAAAATGTAGAAAACCCATCCAAAATATTTAATAAATTTCAGTTGGTATTCTGTTGGTTAACAGGGTGATCCATCATTAATTATGATTAATTAATTAACTGTGATTAATTGAGATTTCTTTCAGCTAATCACATGAGTTAACTGCGATTAATCGACAGACCTGCTAATTAATTATTTATGGAAAGTGGAACAGCTTTAGCAGAAGAACTTGAGGCAGACCTACAGCAGAATAGCTGATAACCAGTTGTTAGGGCACTGTACTGGGAGGGTGGCAGACCCCAGTTCAAATCGTTTCTCCCCATCAGGCAGGAGTGCGTGTGTGGGGGGGAAGACTGAACCTAGGTCTCCCACATCCTAGCTGCATGCTCTACCTCTGGTCTAAAAGTTGTAAGAGGGATGGCATTTTCTCCTCTTTTGTGTGGAAGTAGGAAGGGCCCTAACTCACCTGGCAAGGAACAGTCTAGGCAGGCAGTGCGGCTGTCTTCCTGGGGGGTGGCAGCACTTTGATCTGGGTCTGCCGGTACCTGAGGTTGCAGCACTTTGATCTGGGTCTGCCGGTATTTTCTTTTCCCAGCTCGGAACCTGGTGCACACGTGACGAGGGTGGGAAGAGTGGCGTGGGAGTGGACTGGCACTTTAATTTAAAGGGGCAGCAACAAAATGTTCCCAGCTTTTTTTTTTTTTTTCTCAACAAAAGTTTTCCTGGCTCCAGGGGTCGCGAATGAAAAAAGGTTGAGCACCACTAGTTTAGGCACATAAGTCACCTACTTCTTGGAAATGGAATCTCGGCTGTGGATCACAAGCAGAAATAAGTGTACTCTGAAGATCAGATTTAGGCACCTAACTCTGTGAGAAGGGTGGGGTATAGCACATCTGTCTCATCAACATCTTCCATTGAGTAGTTACGGCTGCTCCCTGCCTAGCATGCTGGCTTTTGTGAATCACGTTCTTAGGTCCCTATCTCTCCTCATATGTTGTATAGGCACCTAATTCAAACTTTGTGGCTCCCGTTATAGGTCCAGTGATTTCTTAGATGCCTAAAAGTTAGTTGTTACAATTCTGAATGTTATACTCCCTAAATCCTTTTGTGGATCTGGACTCTTGTGACTAATTTTCACAGAACTCCGTTGAAGTAGTGTCAGAGGCTGGGTGTCCAATTAAAGGGAGATGCACTAAGCCATGCTTGTGATATAGCAACTATCCACCATTTGATCTTGATCTGGTGGCTTAATTATCCTTTGAGACCCAAGCTGTGAAACACTCAGGGAAGACTACAGAGAGAGAGAGAGAGAGAGAGAGAGAGAGAACTCTTCAGGAAGGAGATCCATGAGAGAGGAAATAGATCTCCTCCTCTCTCTCTGGGAAGAGCATGTTGAAGAGGACCCCAGGGATGGAATTAATCCCTGTTGTGGTCCCTGTAAAGAGGGAAAGTCCCAGGAGGGGAGCCCTGTGGATCAGTGTTCCTGGGGAGGAACAAGGAGATGATTGGACTAGGGAGAAGCATGAGCCCTTTGGGAACCAGAGGTGTTTTAACTACAGGGTACTGGGAAACGGTAAAAGGGGTTTGAAGGTAGTAAATGGCCCAGGGAAATTGTAGCACATATAAAAATAAAGACCGTAGCTGCCTATCATGGGATCTCTGGGCCAGCAACTCAAACAGAGAATAAGTCTGTGTTTTCCCTAGCAGTCCTAAGGAAGGGGTAGGCATAAACCTTCTCCCAACATAAGGATAGCTGAACTGAGGTGGGGAGGAGCTGAGGAGTGAGCCCAGAGGCTGACTCGAGGAGTAGCCCGAGAGGGCTGAAAGGATTCCTTGGGACATTTGGACTTTAGTTGGACTTACGTTACCTTAGAAGAGATCTGGATTAGACACGATTGAGCTGAAAGGATAAATTGTGGACAGAACAGGCAATCAGAGTACCAAACAGCAGATCAAAAAGGGGTGCCATAGACAAAGATTCCTGCACACCATTACATGACATTGAGGCAAGCTACAACAGTCCATCGAAACACATATAAGGAAGCATTAGCCTCATTTTACTGATTAGCAGACAAACACAGAGGGCTAAATACAGCTCTATTATAAACAGTCATTTCTGCTGCTTGCTTAAATGGGAGTGTTCCCTTATTTCATAGCTGATTTTAGCGCAGAGATGGAGTGACTTGCTCAAGGTCATGTAGCAAGTCAATATTAAAATTGGGATTAGAACCCTGGAATTCCAACATTTTAGTCCATTGCCTACCTGCACTCACTAGCTGGCTGACTATTGGAGAGGCAGGTGCCTGCCTCTGAATTCTGGATTTCAGTATCTGTCTATCCTAACTTAGACTGTACTTGTGAACAAATATACATTATCTTTTGCAGTGATAGATTTGGGCAATATATGCTGTTCTACTTGCTCCTTGGTGAATAATATTTTGCTGATGCCTTGTTGAATAAAATTTCCCTATTTTATTCTTAGTTAAAGTGTTTTTCTCACTACTTGGGCAAATAGATCATAATGAATAAACTGCTTAAAATATTTTCCCCCTTTCTGCTTGTGAATGATTTGTGACCAGAGATGAGAACAATGATTCACTAGTTAGGGGCACTAACCTTGGACTTAGAAAACCTGAGTTTATTCCCTGCTCTGCCATTGGATAATTGTGTGATGCTAGGCAGGTCAGTTAGCCTCAGTTCCCCATCTGTAAAAAGGGGATAATAGCACTTCCCTACCTCACAGCAGTATTGAGAGGATCAATGCATTTAAAATTCGGAGATTTTCATGTACTATATTAGTAGGAGCCAGATAAGTAGCTAAGACTGTGTTTTTTCCCTTCAGATGTATTAATTAATGAAAACAATTCACCAGATGACTTTTGTGCATAATTCATGGCCTCATTCAATGAGCAATTCATTCCATCCATTGAGCATTTGAAATTTGAGCAATGTATCTTGCCAAATAATTCACAAGTTTTTGCTCTTTGGATTAAAGTCCGACCCTCTGTATGTAGCATCTCTATAGTTTATTGTTGAATCTAAACCATGGTTTACTGAGTTATGTTTTGTAATGATTTTGACTCTTCTGTATATAATACATATTTCTTAAATACACTCTTGTAGTTCTTGTGCTCACAGTTGCGAGGAAGATATTTAGAAGGAAACAACTTTGTAAAAAATAATTGACTTAAAATACTTTGGCTAATCTAATTCTCTGACTTATACTCATTCTTTAAAAGCAATGTTCAGAAATCAGATCATCTTCAGTGCCATCTAGTGTCACCTTTTCAAAAAAGCTTGAAATTTTTACTCTAATGCTCATAAACAGAAAATAAATCATTTCAGTCAAATATGTAGCATATTAATTTTCAGGTTCAAGATTTTTAATTGTGGTTTTTGCAGGTGAATGAAACCTTTGTCTTGATTTGTTGCACACTGTGTTAGTATGAGTAACAAACCCATGTTGATAGGTAAATATTTCCAAATTATGGATTTTATTGTATCTTAGGTTGCTATCCTCCGGATTCTTAAGCACACACTTAATTTTATGCAAACAAAGACTCCCATAGTTTTCCACTTTAATGTGCAGACTTGGCTCATGTATATGTTTTTTGAAGATCTGAGACTTATGTCCCAATTGGGTCTCTGTTGAAGCTAGTGGGAGTTTATTCACAAAGCTTCAGTGTTAGGTGGATCAGACTCTTCTTCAATTTCATATTTACTATATTAAATATTACATAAGAATGGCACTACTGGGTCAGACCAAAGGTCCATCTAGCCCAGTATCCTGTCTGTTGACAGTGTCCAATGCCAGATGCCCCAGAGGGAGGGAACACAACAAGCAATCACCACGTGATCCCTTTCCTGTCATCCATTTCCAGACAGAGGGTAGGGACACTGTTCCTACCCATGCTAGCTAATAGCCATTGAGAGACCTAACTTGCATGAATCTATCTAGTTCTTTTTCGAACCCTGTTAAAGTCCAGGTCTTCACAACATCATCTGGCAAGGATTTCCACAAGTTGACTGTGCACTGAGTGAAGAAAAACTTCCTTTTGTTTGTTTAAAACCTGCTGCCTATTAATTTCATTTGGTGACCCCTAGTTCTCATATTATGGGAATAAGTAAATAATTTTCCTTATTCACTTTTCCCACACCAGTTATTATTGTATAGACCTTTATCATATCCCCCATTAGTCTCCTCTTTTATAAGCTGAAAAGTTCAAGTCTTTTTAATCTCTCTTCATATGGTACCCGTTCCAAACCCCTAATTGTTTTTGTTGTCCTTTCCTAAACCTTTTCTAATGCAAATATATATTTTTTTAGATGAGGTGACCACATCTGTACACAGGATTCAAGATGTGGGCGTTGCATAGTTTTTATATAGAGAGATATTTTCTGTCTTATTCTCTATCCCTTTTTTAATGATTCCTAACATTCTATTTGATTTTTTTGACTGCTACTGCACTCTGCGTGGATGTTTTCAGAGAACTCTCCACAATGATTCCAAGTTCACTCTCTTGAGTAGTTGCAATCAAATGAGTCCCCATCATATTGTACATGTAGTTGGGATTGTTTTTACAATGTGTATTACTTTACATTTATCAACATTACATTTCATTTGCCATTTAGTTGCCCAATCACTTAGTTTGGTGAGACCTTTTGAAGCTCTTCACAGTCTGCTTTGGTGTTAAGTATCTTGAACAGTTTGGTATCATCTGCAAATCTTGTCACTTCACTGTTTACCCCTTGTTCTAGATCATTTATAAATAAATTGAATAGGATTGGTCCCAGGACAGACCCTTAGTTGCCTCTCTCCACTTGGAAAACATACTATTTATTCCTACCCTCTGTTTCCTCTCTTTTAACCAGTTATCAGTCCATGAAAGGACCTTCCCTCCTTATCCCATGATAACTTACTTTAATTAAGATCCTTTGGTGAGGGACCTTGTTAGAGGCTTCCTGGAAAACTAAGTATACTATATCCACTGGATTCCCCTTGTCCACATATTTGTTGACCCCTTCGTAGAATTCTAGTAGATTAGTAAGGCATGATTTCCTTTCACAGAAACCATGTTGACTTTCCCTCAACAAATTATATTCATCTATGTGTCTGACAATTTTTTTCTTTACTATAGTTTCAACTAATTTGCTGGGAACTGATGTTGGACTTAGCAGTCTGTAATTGCCAGGATCACCTGTACAGGCCTTTTAAAATATTGGTGTCACGTTAGCTATCTTTCAGTCATTAGGTACAGAAGCTGATTTAAAGAATAGGTTACAAACCACAGTTAATAGTTCTGCAATTCCACATTTGAGTTATTTCAGAACTCTTGGGTGAATGCCATCGGGTCCTGGTGACTTGTTACTTTTTATCAATTTTTTTCCAAAACCTCCTCTAATGACACCTCAATCTGGGACAATTCCTCACCCAAAAAGAATAGCTCAGGTTTGGGAATCTCACCAATATCCTCAGTTGTGAAGACTAAAGCAAAGGATTCATTTAGCTTCTCTGCAATGACTTTATCATCTTTGAGTGCTCCTTTAGCATCTCAATCATCCAAGACCCCCTCCCCCGCCCGATTGTTTAGCAGGCTTCCTGCTTCTGATATACTTAAAAACATTTTACTATTACTTTTTGAGTTTTTGGCTAGCTGTTCTTCAAACTCCTTTTTGGCTTTTCTTATTATATTTTTACACTTAATTTTACAAAGTTTATGTTCCTTTCTATTTTCCTCACTAGGATTTGACTTCCATTTTTTAAAAGATGTTTTTTTATCTCTTACTGCTTCTTTTACTTTATACCATTAAGCCACGGTGGCACTTTTTTGGTTCTCTTACTGTGTTTTTAATTTGGGGTATACGTTTAAGTTGGGCCTCTACTACGGTGTCTTTGAAAAATTTCCATGTATCTTTCAGAGATGTTTTTGCTATTAGTGACCATGTGTCACATATGTTCCCCTGTGTAGTGAGAGATTGGCATACCCAAGCAAACTGTCTGTGACTCCATGGTTAGATTATTACAATGCCTGGAGTGTTTCCACATAAGTGTTGGGTGAAATAAAGTATAGACATTTACTTCTTGGACCAGATCCTGCTCTCCACTCAGGACTAAATCAAGAACAACCCGTCCCCTTGTGGGTTCCAGAACCAGCTACTCCAAAAAGTAGCCATATAACGTATCAAGAAATGGTATTTTTGCATCCCATCCTCAGATGACGTGTACCCAGTTAATATGGGGATAGTTGAAATCCCCCATGATTATTGAGCTTTTTAATTTGATAGCCTCTCTAATCTCCCTTAGCATTCCACAACCTGTTCTGTCCTTCCAATATATTTTGTACCCTGGTATGACTGTGTCCCATTGATTGTCCTCATTCCACCAAGTTTCCGTGTTGCCTATTACATCAATGTCCTCCTTTTTGGCTCATTTAAGATTTTTACTTCATTTGGTTCTACATTTTCTTTCACGTTTAGTGCCACTCTCCCCTCAGCGTGACCTATTCTGTCCTTCTGATATATTTTGTACCCTGGTATGACTGTGTCCCATTGATTGTCTTCATTCCACCAAGTTTCTATGATGCCTATTTTATCAATATCCTCCTTTAATACGAGGCACAGCATAATTTTCAATTCAAATTTCCTTTCCATTTTTAAATGTTTTGGGGCCAAATAAGGCACATAGTGTCAGCTGCTGCCCATAGCATCCAAATGTGGGTCCTGAATCCTTCCTGTGATAAACATAGCAACAATGTAGAGACAGCACTTGAGCTCTTGCAGAAGGAGATGTACCATTTACTTACTAATGACTGGTTTAATAAGATATAGGAGCGCTCTCTTTGGAGGGTCTGAACTGTGCTGAAAGAAGGGTTATTTCATGATGGACCTAAGGAGGAAGAAATAAAGGAAGAGAATGTTGGGGATGGTGTCTTTTGGTGTTTCTACTGGGATTTTAGAATTACATTGAATAACTGGGAATTAGGTTATAAGGGTGTACCATATTCTTCTATGAAGAAGTGTGTAATTGGAATATTTACCTGATACAGTAAGACTATATAGTAATCAAAATGTTAAATTCATGTCTTTATAGGCTTGCCGATATGGACATGTCCAACATTTAGAACACTTCCTATTTTATGGAGCAGATATGGGAGCACAGAATGCCTCAGGAAATACAGCATTGCATATTTGTGCCCTTTATAACCAGGTTAGTTGTTATTCTTCTATAGTGTTGTATTTCTGTGCCTTTGTGGAGTTTTTTTTAATCTTTCATTGATATGTACTAAGTAGAGAGAACAGGAAATGAAATTTTCTTTCTGTGGAAAATCTTGCGTTTATGAAAAAATTCCAATTGGAATGAAAAATTCAGAAATGGCAAGTTTTCATGGAAATAAATTTTAGAAAAAAATTGAGGCCAACAGAGGAGCCAGGAAACTACAGAGGCTTTCTGACTGTTTACCGGAAACTATGAAATAAGAAACATTTACTGAAATACTGAAGAAAAATTGTCTATATTGACTATGCAAAGTGGGCCTAACTGTCTACTGCCTTGTGTCTTATGTAGTCATTTACAACTTTGTAAAGTGAGTGAAAATATAACTATTTTGATTTCATAGCACTTTGCATTAGGTTTGCATAGGTGTGAATGAACTCATACAGATAAGATCCAGGTTTGGATCTTTATTTGATAAAATTGATGGAATTGTGTACATTCAAGTTGGAGACCAGCATTAACTATCAAAATCCATTACAGAACATTTTAATTCCTCTTTGAGAATGGATTTTTGTTAATCTATTGGGTCATATTCTTTCTTTTCCAGCACTAGTGTAAGGGCCAGATTCTGCAAACATACTAGTATAGGATATTGTATCCCTAAGTACAGAGTAAATCCATCAAACTCAATGAAATTACGCTAATCTATGCTGAAATAAGTCAGATCAGCATGTATATCTAGGGGTTCCCTTTCATCCATCCAACACTGAACTGGCTCAAGTCCCCACTCAGTAACCTTGGGAATTCACTCCCCCCCCGCCTCCCACCATCCCCTCCCCTCCCCCTCGGGTGCCTCTGAGAGGCAATGCCTCCCCACTCACAAGCACAGAGTCTGAGTGTGGAAAAAAACCTTTCAATGAAAGAGGGAGAGAAGTAATGTGGCATTAACTTGGGAAAACACCACAGAGTTCATAACCAAACCAGGGATAAACATCCCAGCTCAGGTAGGTTTGGCAATGTCCTTTGCCTCTCAGGCTCACAAGTCCAGCAATGTAAGTGTCTATTCATATGCCCAAACTTTCTCTGCACCCCACTCACAGTTGCTGTCCTTGGTCAGGGCAGACCAGAGTTCACAGGTGATCTGCAGAGTTCATCTCCCATCCTGAAGGAGGTGGGTAGGAGGCATCTTACCCACTCTGCTGATCACTCACCAGCCACCTGCTGTCTGGTGCTGCTCTCTGGTGCTGCTTTGCTGCTGGCCACTTGCCACTGTTCCCGCCAGCTTCTTGCTCCCCAGCTGGCCACCTGCCGCTGCTCCTGCTGGCCGCTTGTTCCTGCTAGCCGCCCCACTGGCTGCCTGCCTGCCAGCTGTTGCTACTGGCCTTGTGATGGATTTGGCTCTGGGCCAAACCTAGTGATTTCAGCTTCTCAGTGATTTCAACTCTTGGCCTGCAGCACACTCCATCCAAAAGATTCCAACATTCACAGGAATAATTTTAAAATAATAAAGAGACTCCTTATGGAGTTAGAAGGAGGTGGTGGGGAGGGGGAAGAGAAGCAAAACAGGTGGAACCAGTCTTACAGCTCTGTTTCAGGGCTCTCCCCTCTCCCTCCCCCCCCCCCAATTGACTTCAGAGAGTCTGGAAGAGAAAGCCTTGTCCATTTGATAGTCTTTACAATGATAGTGTCTCTCCTTTGAACTGAGTTAAACACAATCTGCTTTTCTGCATTCCCAGTAATTGTGAGCATTGGTGGTTGTATTTTAAAATTCCTACATTTAAGGCTAACATGGTTTGTGACCCGCAACCGTGAAATGAGATATAATTCTAACAATTGGATATCTATCAGGTCTATAGCAACTGAACTGGATTTACATAAGCACACCCAGGATTTCTTTCCAATTCCAGCATGAACTGTATTTAAATAACAACAGTTGAATACCTTATAGGGTAAGCAACTGAGTGAGCATAATCACAACCAGGATTCCTCTCCCATTCCAGCTGGCTGTAATGGAAGCATTGATTCAGACCCTGCTTGCATCTAATCATTACTGATTAGTTTACTTTTCTCCAATAATAAAGCCCCAGTTCAGCAAGGCATTTCCACAAGCCTAAATTGAAGCATGTGAGTAGTCTCACTGACTTCCATGGCACTGCATGCACTGACCGTAAGAGAGACTATTCAGATACTTGAATTTAAGCAAGTTTTCTAGGCTTCAATTCGATGAGGCACTTCATGACTAATTGATGGGAAGATAACAAAAGCAATAGTACACTAGTGTAGAGCCAAACGTTGCCCCCACTTGTATCTGGCAAAGGGATTGAGTTGTAAGTGATGGCAGAATTTGACCCTGAGCAGATCTACTAAATAAAAGAAATCAAGGAAAACAGAGCTGTACCTCTTAAACTATAGCTTTCTATCTCTGCAGTGTTTTAATAATTATGGGCCAGACTGCAGTGAGTGGCTACACAGGGGCTGTGTCTACATTGGCACCCTTTTCCGGAAAAGGGATGCTAATGAGACACTTCGGAATTGCAAATGCCGCGGGGGATTTAAATATCCCCCGCGGCATTTGCATGATATCCCCCGCAGTATTTGCATGAACATGGCTGCCGCTTTTTTCCAGCTCGGGGCTTTGCCGGAGAAGAGCGCCAGTCTAGACGGGATCTTTCGGAAAATAAACCCTTTTCTGGAAGATCCCTTATTCCTCTTAAAATCAGGAATAAGGGATCTTCCGGAAAAGGGTTTATTTTCCGAAAGATCCCGTCTAGACTGCCGCTTTTCTCCGGCAAAGCCCTGAGCCGGAAAAAAGCGGCAGCCATGTTCATGCAAATGCCGCGGGGGATATTTAAATCCCCCGCGGCATTTGCAATTCCGAAGTGTCTCATTAGCATCCCTTTTCTGGAAAAGGGTGCCAATGTAGACATAGCCTACGGGTTTAAAATGCCATCAATGATTTTCTGGAAAAGGGTGCCAATGTAGACATAACCTAAGGGTTTAAAATGCCATCAATGACGCTGAGTTGGCTATGCAAGATCTATTCTGATTTTGAATCCAGACATGAGGCAGAGAGCAGAGATTGAGTTTCTGATTCTATTGCCTTGCATGCAAGTGCACAGAGAGAAGGAGGGAGTTGGCAGAGCCTTCCATGTATGAGCAAGCAGCACTAAATGGACAATGGGAAAGTTATAGCCTACTCTGCCAGGGTCTTAAGAGGGGCTGGAAATCAGAGGGATATTCAAGTTGAAGTTCTTTCCGGAGCTGCTACTGGAGTATCACACTTTCTCAGGACCGACAGTAAACTCTCAGTCCAGTCATCTGTTGGGAGTCAAGTTTGGCTCCATTATGTTTGAGTTGTAATCATAGCAATGAGCTGCCACTGGTATGTCTGCTTTCCTACAGCCTCTTGTTTTGAATATCTGCAAGTGAATTTCAAAGGCCAAACCTGCTTCTTTATTTAAGTGAATAATGTTGAAAGTTTAATGGGACTACTACTAAGTAGAAGGAAAACAGCGCTTTGTGCTTTTATTTTCACATGGGTCATTTTATAACATTCCAGCACTGTGTGTATTAAAACCATGTTAGGACACTGTGCATGTAATGCTACAATGAATTAGAAAAACACAAGTCATAAGGCATGCTTGTAACTAGTAAAACATCTGTTAAAGCAGCTGCTTCTTAATTAATTACCATCTTGATTGAAAAAGCCTTGTCAAAGCAGATTTCTTCACTTCCTTTGGTATGTCTAAAATATCTTGACTTTTTCAAAGGACATGATTTTTGGAATAATTTAACATTTTCAAAGATCAGCGTGGCTTATTGTTCAGGAGTCAATTAATATTAGTTATTAGGAATCCAGTTATGCAAATCCTTACTTCTGGGTGTAGAGCTTATTGTTGGTTGAGGTATTCAGGTATCATGGCAATGAGAGCTGTACTAAACAGAGTGTTCATGACTATGTCTGGACCCGCTGTTGTCAGTAGAAACATGGCCTAAGAGGACATAAGTGCAAGCACAAGTCCTGTGTGGTGAGGTATAGAAACCCCACAACTGGTCTGGAAGGGGTTAAGTGACAATACTGAGCCCAGGTATCTAGACCCCTCCAACCCTGCAGAGCATGCTTTCCTAAAGAAGGGGTTGAAAAGGGAGCAGCTCACGTCAGAAGGGGGAAAAGGACTAAAGGCTTCTGACAAGGGTGCTGGAGAAGCCTACTGAGGAAGTATGGCTATATGCTGAGCTCAGCTGGGGCTGACAGCTTGGTTACTTTTTCTTTTCACTTATCTGGAACTGAAAGTGGGGGAAAGAAAGGCAATGGTAGGAAGTGACTCAGGAAAAGTAACTCAGAGGGCACTTCTGGGGCCAGACTCTAGGGCCCTGGGTTGAACATGGTGGAGGAATTCAAACCACCTACTCACCTCACTCCACCTCTGATTAAAGTAAGACCAGCATTGTAGAATTGACCCACCTGGAAGGGGTATTAGCTGTGCTAATTTCTTGGCCACCTAACCCACCAAGGACTCTGTTACAACTTATGAACAATTTATGAGTTGTGATGCTAGCAGACCAGGTGCCAGCTCATGTCAAGGCTCCCATATCTCAGCTAATACCGGCAAATACAGAGCTGGAGTTAGTCTGGCTTGACTGTGTGTTAATATAGATAAAATAGGTATTAGTATTCTAAGAATATGTTTAGTGTTTAGACTTTGAATGCTTGTGTATTGCTGCCTGCATTAATCTCACTTATAACATCAGTGACCCATATTGCAAGGTAATATTTAAGTATTTGTATTGCCAGCCTCGGTTACAGAGTAAATCACCAGAGAGGAGAGAACCATTAACTAGTATAAACTGTTGCTCTGCAACACAAGGTGTTGTGTCCTGACTAACTAGGAAGGCCCATCAACACCAGATGGACTTTTGTGGAATGTTAAAGAGGACAAAAAAATGTTGCTGGCCTATCTTTTGCCTCCATGAAGATAAACCATAGAAGTAGA